TGGTATCTGTTTGTGTTTGCTGCACGTGGTATCTGTGTTTGCTGCAAGTGTTTGAATGTTTTAGTTGAAAGCGTTTGCTGCACGTGGTATCTGTGTTTGAATGTTTTAGTTGAAAGCGTTTGCTGCACGTGGTATCTGTGTTTGTGTTTTAAATAGTAGCTGTATGATTTTGCTGTTACTGAATACATACAATATTAAATAGAAAGATAAGTGTGGAACCAAAGGTCCCTAAGTGGAGGAGTTATAAATGGAAGGGGGTCCCTACCTTTAATAATCCTAAGGGTATAGGCAATTAAAATAGACAGGAAGGAAAGATAGGGCAAAGGGAATAAATGTGTAAAAACACATACAGGTCCAAAACAACTACTTAACAGAGAAATAGCCCAAATCTAATAAAGTTGGGTCAAAATGCTCCAAACTGTAAGGTTGTCTTTTCATTTACCGCTTTTTTATGATTACTCTCTTTTTTAGATGTAATTTACAGTTAGGGATATCCCTATCAAGTCCTGAGTATATAATAAGTAGGCTGAACATCTGTATACAGTTATTGTATACAGTTATTGTCTTCTTACATGAGGACTCTGCTAGTGGGATGTAATATAGGGAATCATAAATCTGATAGTCTCTTGTATCCACCTTTTCAGATAGTTATAAGGTTGTTACCTATTTTTTTGTAGGTTGGAGAGACTAATAAAGCTGTGTTTCTGTATATTTACAGTATGCTCTATTACATTCCCACCACCAAGGTTCTCTTCTATATTTTCTTTGTGTTTGGGTGCAACCAAATACTTGTCATATGATCACGGTTTGTGTAATATCCCTTTAATAAAGGGTGCATTGTTTAAAATCTTCTTAATGACATCCTATTTATGGTATTGCTAGGATGTTGTGAGATTGGCCATCAGCCTCGACGCATTAAGTATGGGAGGTTTTGTCACTTTGTGACTCCCTGTCTATGCGGCAACATTCTCCCGTTAGGGGATTATGAATGCTTAAATCAGGCCGTACGATACATGGGAGGTTTCACTATGAATGACAGCCGCGTCACTAGTTGACACGACCAAGCCACTCCCTCCATATGCAGCTGATCGCACCCACGTGGGTATCACCCAATTAACCGCAATACCCCCCGGTCACATGGCCCATGTAATACTCCAATCCAAATATGGTTGGCATTTTTTTGACCAATCAATGGGCCGACAAGACGGAGGGGTGTGCAGACGCGGTGGATACACAACAGGTGAATTGTTTCAAGTTGATTGCTACAATCCCCATATAAACGAGCACAAAGTTATGCAGAGGCTTACTACTCCTGACGACGGCATGTTAGAACGCTGAAACGCGCGGCGAGTTTTCATTTATTTTCTTTTCAGTTTGTTCACTTGGGTAGCACTTATGGATTAGTTTATTTAGTTAATTCGTTTTTTAGCTATTTAGCCAGGAAGGCAGAAGGGTAATAGGTAGGCACTTGTGATTCTCACTGTGCCGAGGTATACAGTTAGGAAGTGTTCCTCCCCCTTCCCCCTCCCCTCTTTCCTTCCTTTGTTATTCCTCTATCTACCTATCTTTTGACAACCTTACAGTTTGGAGCATTTTGACCCAACTTTATTAGATTTGGGCTATTTCTCTGTTAAGTAGTTGTTTTGGACCTGTATGTGTTTTTACACATCTATTCCCTTTGCCCTATCTTTCCTTCCTGTCTATTTTAATTGCCTATACCCTTAGGATTATTAAAGGTAGGGACCCCCTTCCATTTATAACTCCTCCACTTAGGGACCTTTGGTTCCACACTTATCTTTCTATTTATAATTTGTGGGTTATTCCCCAGTAGGGAAGAGTTATCAGGGCTTTTTCATATAATCATCTACTTTTACAATATTAAATACATCATATTCAAATACTACCAGATCCAACCTGTAACCCTAAAAGCATTCATCCTGAAACAGTGAAACTGAACCAATACGTGGATTCAATAAACAACAATCGAATGACAAAGTCTAAAATACTCAAGCAAAGCTTTTGTTAACTTTTTTTAAATATGAATTACAGTATATTAATAGTTTATATACATAATATATGTCATTTGCTGCAGGATCAACTCGCATATTACCAGAAGTAAACTTGTACGGTGCCACCATCTACAACATACTGTGACACCGTCAATAAAGAGGTATTACCAAGCAATAAATTACAGCAATAAATCATAATAAGCAAAATATACATCCATTATAATGTGTACTTCAACATAATGTACGTACGCACGCAATATTGTATAGTGTGGCGAAACCAACCTCGCCACTGTGAACTGGAGAAGCCTGGTTGCTCGCCTGCTCCCTTTGGACTATGGCCCTGCAGGTTAAACTGTTTATTTCCCCTGCAGAAAGGCTTATTTGTGTGATCTGAGTGCCATTCATCTAATAATGTGCACTCAGATCCCAGCTATCTGGGGATATGTGAAATGTCTGTGTGTTATGTGTAAATGTGACTTTATGTATTTTAAAGTGTTTTGTGTCTTTTTGCAACCATGTGCTTAATGGAGTCTTGTGTCTATCCTGGGAGATAATTGAATTACTCTCCAGGATAGAAGACTCTGAAACTGGTTTGGGCCAGAAAGCCATGCTTCATTTAGTCACAAAGGACTTTACTAACTTTTGAACCCCTGGTCTGATTCGTGCCATTTTTTAATATGTTGTTCCCCTGAATGGATTGATTGTGAATGTGATGTATGGTTTTAGAGTTATGAAAGTTGGGTAGAAAGTATGTTTTAACTGTATGTGTAATTGAGTTTCCTCTCAGGATAAGGGAGGGAATATGTGGGATGTAACTGATATGTGATTGGTTGTTTTGTAACGCCCTGTGGGCTGTACTATGTTTGTGGATTGGGAATAAAAGAGACTGTATGTGACAGTACAGAGTTCCTGTTTTAACCCTCAAAGTGAAGTGTCGTCTCATTATTGGGGAAGGATTTATTGTATGCTGTTCCAGTTTGACTGCTAGGAGAGTAAACCTATTCGTATGGTTCCTATTCAACTGTCTACAGCATTCATATGCTTGAGAGGATTCATAAGCTTCTCCGGTTCGGTGGTTGTGGTGTCTGCTGCAGTGCTTGGAGTCCTCAGGAAGCGCTAGGAGCATCCTTTAACGGAGGTACCCAGTCGGGGTGCCAGGTGATCCGTTACATATAGTATAATACAAAAGTGTTAATACCTAAAATGAGCATTAACCATAGTGTAAAAACACACTTTTTTATGGATATATATATATACACACACACTCACACATTTAAAGATACTTCTTGACATATAACAAACAAGCCATCTGAAATAACTAGAAGACTTCACCACCATTATGCAAAGTATTGTGAGCATAAGAACCACAATGCATTAATAGATTTGATACATTATATATGTAATATAGCGCTGGATCAAAAACACTATTGAATGACAACAACTCCTGCAACACCACTACTCAACATCTATAACACACTGTGAATGGGACAATAAAGATGAACTACCCATCTATATGCAGTGCAACATATATTATCATGTGAACCTAAACATAATATAGCTTAAAATATTTCATAGATTAACAAAGTTTAAATACATTAAATATTCAAGCAGCGGTATAGCACCAGCATGATATGGAAATAAATAAATCTATGTATATATCTCAAAATCAACATGCTCCAGTTTGATTATTTTTCATAGATGTAATCTTTAATAATTAACATGTGTAGAGTCAATCATTGCACATATAACTTTGTGCACATATAACTTTGTGCACATTTTATAGCCAAAAAAGTGCATAAAAAGTATGGACTCCTTTCAGTGATTATTTTTTTACTTCAACTGAGGTTGCTTTGATGTCAGAAATTTAAATGAAGACATTGCAATTAGACACTACATTTAAATACAGTAATTATATATCAAATAGCAAAGAGTGCTTTGTAATAGTAAGAACATTTTGACCGATTTATTTTGTATATTTCAGGAATTTTATGCGTGAATCGTTGTTTGATTTTTTTTTGATTTTTTTTTATTAGCGTCCAATATATTTCAAGGTACTGTACATTATCAATGGTTGTAAATAATTTGTATTACATTATTGAAATAAACATTCTAATTTAAATTTACTTTTTCATTTTCAGGTAAATATGCCTAACTGCATTGTTACCGGGTGCAGGAGCAGACCTGGGAGAACTGGGCATGAAGTAATAACTCTTCATGTCTTTCCCAGTAAAAGATTTTTAGCCAGAAAATGGCTGGAGCAGACTCGTCAAAATTGTGTTAATATAGAACAAATTTTAGATATTATAACTGACCTAAAATATCCGTCTACTTACCGGATCTGCTCCAGACATTTTGAGGACAGTTCCTTTGAGTTGACGGGATCAAAGAGTTTTTTTAAAACCTGATGCACTGCCTTCAAAATTCAATTTTGAAGCAGGTCTTCCTTGCATAGCTGAAGAGGTATTCCACAGGCATAAAAAAACCAAAGCAATGGATGTAAATACATCATTGGCCTGTACTTCTGTAACTCACTTTGAGCTTGCCAAGATTATGTGCGATACCTCAACTTCAACTGAAGATTTAAATTGTACAAGGGAAATATCAATTCAGACTGACTGTATACCAGTGGAAGAGGCAATTGAATTTGCCAAATCCACTAACCATGAGGCTCCAATATTAAAATGTATAAAATGGAGCATTCATATTGTAAAGACATGCCTATTATCTTAGAGACTGAAGTGTTCAGTCCATCTAAGATAATAACTTCAACCCCTATTAAAATTAAAGATAAAGAAGTGGAATTGGGAACCATTACAGAGCAACCAAATCAAGATCCAATGGATCTTTTTGATTCTTTTCACCAAGATATTGCAGAACTACACAATGTATCTACATATATTGACAGTAGTGCCGCAATTAAGGAGTCAGACTTAGAGAGTCCTTTGAATGTCTCCAAAGAGCAAAAGCGTGATCCAGACTATGTCATGGATAGTTTTTGCACTATGGATACATCCACTGATTTAGATTTGACCACTAAGGAATCAAATATTGAATTTCAGTGTTTAACTGACCGAAAATTTGTAGTATTTGAATCTTGTCTAGATTTGTTATGCTACAAAATCCCATGCCAGAAAAACTTGCACTGTACATCTAAAATTGTTTCTCTTATAAAGCGTACAGAGGGTTCGCTATTAAAAATCTATGTGAATTGTAAATTTGGACACAAATTTCTGTTGTGGCACAGTCAGCCACTAATTAGTCAAATTGATGCTGGCAATATATTAATGACAGCATCAATTCTCTTCAGTGGCTGTAATTTTAAATAAAATCCATGAAATGTTAAACATTTATGGATTACAACATATTTCGGAAAGTGGGTATTACCGTTACCAACGGAAATACCTTTTTCCTGCTTTGTCACATCATTGGCAATTGGAGGAAGACATTTGTAGACCCCTGTGGAATGTACTTCCACTCTGCTTGAGTGGAGATGGTCAATGTGACAGTCCAGGATTTAGTGCTAAATATTGCATTTACACTTTCATGGATGTCTTTAGTAAAAAAATTATTGACTTCTAAATTACACAGGTGTCTCAGACAACGTCATCCATTGCTATGGAAAAACTAGGTTTTCAGACTTGTTTGGATAGAATGAGATCTGAAAACCTTGATATCCAAATGATCGCTACTGATCGTCATGTTGGCATCCGTAAATTGATGAGAGAAAAGTATAGTGGCATTACACATCAATTTGATGTATGGCACTACGCTTAAAATCTCAGAAAGAAGCTCGTGGCAATTTCTAAGAAAAAAATTCTTTTTGGATCAGGCAAATTATAAACCACTTTTGGTGGTGCATTAAGACATGTGAAGGGGACATAGTGCAATTAAAAGAGCATTGGAATTCACTCTCTTGTCACATTTCCAATTGTCACGAATGGGAAGTTGTAGAGAAGTACCAGGCTTGTTCGCACAAACCACTATCACAAGAAGTGATTGACAAAGGTTTATGGTTGAAACCCAAATCACAAGCATATGAGTTAAATGTATTAATTATGGTCAGCTTGTGAAGGATTTTGACCACTTAGTCCACTTCTGTCACACAGGATGTCTGGAGACATTCCATAGCCTTGTATTGAAGTACAGGCCCAAAAGGATTCATTTTGGACTGGATTCCATGGAGGATAGAACAATTTTGGCCATTCTTGCTCACAACAGTAAAGTTAATTGTGAGCAAGCAATTGTCAAAGTTTCGTTCAAAGGCACTGATCCTGTTGGAACTTTGCGGAATAGATTAGAATTCCCACGTTCCAGAAAAAGATGGGTTGTTCGTACTATGTACGAGCCAATGACAATCCCTCATATAGAACAAATTCTTATGAGTGTATTAAAAATTTGCAGTGAGAGTTTGCATGTGGATTGGAATTCAAAATCCACAACAGTACCCAAAAACATTGCTAAAATTCCAAAGCCTGATAAAAAAAAAAAAGGCAGTAGAAGAGCATGTGAGCCGTTTCAAGTAATTAAAGCGGCACTGTCATGCCGTACGTACCCATCTCCTGTTTCATTTTCTCTTCCTTTCTCAGAATCCATTATTTTATTTTTAATTATTTCTCTTGTAGTTTTCTTGACCACATAAAACAAAGAAGGGACTACTTTGTCTTATGTATTTTTCCTATGCTTGATTTTCTTTGATCAAAGGAGAAGATTAAGTCCGCTCCAATTCTTGTGTCAAAGTTTTGGCACAATACTCACTCTCCTACTTTACACAGGAAATGGAGCATACTTACGCTCCTCCTTTAGCCATAGAAAGTCAAGCCTTGGGGAAAAAAAAAGTAGTAGTCATTACTTTGTCTTTGGTGTTAAAGAAATATATCAGGAATAAACAAAAAAAGGATAAATGATTCTGAGAGAGGAGAAGATAAATTAATTGGAGAACAGTATGTTCGGCATAACAGTGCCAGTTTAAAGAAACATAATCAGGTAACAAACACAAAAACCCTTTAAAATGGAACTGTCCTCCCCTTCTCCAAAAATAAATTAAATAGATAATTGATTATTTGTGAAAGATTGAAAGAACAACGATGGATACAACGATAACAAGACAACGATGGGGAGGTTCTGGTAAGTTTGCCCGTACTTGGCTATCCTAGGCCAGCCATCGTACACATTTCGCCAATGTCAATGGTCTTTGAAAAATTTTCTAAGGCATTGACAGTTATTCTTTTAAAAATTTTAGTTTTCAGTTTTATATCTGTTATTTTTATTCGTTCAAGTTAAAGTTTGCAGTTAAAAGTTAAATCAACACAAAGATAAAAGGAGCAATTTGAGGACTTATTAAAATCAGTTGTTCATATATGTTTGAGGACACGTAAACACTAAGCTCGATCTTTTTGTTAGACATCATTTTTCAAAATAACAGCAATTAGATTAAAATAATAATACATTAGAGTCTTAGAATATTATTAACTAAATTTAGGAATTATTCTGTAGTTACTAAAACACTTAATGCTGCTTTGACTGCAAGGTTGCCTAAATGTCTATAATAAATTCATTAAAATGTAATTGTATGAATGAAAAAATATATTCTAGATTAATAAAGAATTACATAAATCATATTAAAACAATTTATAACAAAATAATTAAAAAGTAACTATTTTCTCTGTTTGGCTTAATTCTTAAAAAATTGAATTGCATAATTAAGAAAAATATATGTAAATTTAAAAATAAAATTTTATACCAATATTATAGATTACAATTGTAATATTCTAGTTATAATATTTATTGTAAATTGATAACATTAAAATAATTACATCTAAAAACTATTTAAATTAAACTTATAAAACATTTAAATATTTAACAGTTTGAATTAATTTTAAAAAGTTAAATAAACATTAAAATTGATTTTTAAATTAAAAATCTTAGTTCAAGTAGTATTATATAGGAAATATATAAAGATTACGTTTTATGCTATTAAAGTTAGAAATGTAATACATGTTTCCTGTATTAATTTGGTGTTTGCCTATATATTTCTTTAAAAAAAAAAAGAATATTTACATGTGAAACAATATCACATGGTAAAATTTAACAGCAAAGTTTGCAGAATGCAATAATTTCCCAATTGTGTTAAAAGTGAGCCTCAGTCAAAATGTATCAGTTTATAAACAGTGAAACCATTGCATTCTGTAAATGCCACCGTTGAAATTGACAACTAAACAGTCACTGTCAACAACACCTGAAAAATTAGTATTTCATCAAGATTGAATCTTTATGAAATACTCATTTTGACATTTCTCTATGTATTTCTCCAACACCCGACTTTCATACACTCATGGGTCATTCCTAACAGCCGTTACCAGTAATGGCTGCAGTGAATTGGGTGCATTTATGGAGAATCCCACAATGTTGTGGGAGCCTACATAGACCTCTATGTTGTACTTTCACACACGGATAAGGAAACCAAAAAAAGAACTCACAATACATGGTTGAAAAGAATAAACCTTTATAATAAGCTATTTTACATATAAATTCAGAATGAGTTGTAACACAAACATTGTTTAAAAAAAATTCAAAAGTCATCAGCCATATCAATAGCATTATAATCTTGAAGTCTAATGAATCCGACATATGAATTTTCTGGGTCTGGGAAATGAGTACGAATGACATGAACTTCACATAATGGAATGGGCCTTCGATTTTTTTCGTCCAAAGTAACCATGAATCCAGGTGGTAAAACCTCAATATGCCGTCTTCCTCATTTGCCTACATAGAGAAACTTGGGTCAGTTTTTTTTAAATAAAGATGTCTGGCTATGACACAGTTGTGTCTTTAAGACCCAAAAATATATAAAGTGCAACTAAGTGCAAACAAATTGATAAAGTGCAAAGTGATACAAAGTGCACTTAAAGTGTAGAATATCAGTATAAAATATTATACATACATATGGCCTCTCAACTCCAAATATACATAGAAAGGAAAAGAGACATAAAAAAACCAATAGTGTGAAACCGTATTAAAATGGTAGTATGGATAATAAATGCCAAATATTGCACTCACAAAAGTAGAGCAGAATAAGCCTGCTCTAGCTTTAACAGCTTCTTCAAATGTAGGACTGCACAGACGAAAAAATATTCCAAAATCTTTATTGTCTAATACACAAGATCCAGCGCACTCACCTATCCACTAAACATCACGTAAAGTTACCTGACGTCACGCACCCGAGAAAGCTCCTCCCCCTGGAAGTTTGAGGAAACAGACGGCCAACAGACGGCAATTACGGCGGCGAATCCGCAGAGGGACAGGTCGACACCCTTATGCTGTATGCTACCGAAGGCTCTGTAACTGAATACTAAGTGTGGAGGAAGGTGATATATTGGTGCTGTGCTGGGCAATAAAGATTTTGGAATATTTTTTCGTCTGTGCAGTCCTACATTTGAAGAAGCTGTTAAAGCTAGAGCAGGCTTATTCTGCTCTACTTTTGTGAGTGCAATATTTGGCATTTATTATCCATACTACCATTTTAATACGGTTTCACACTATTGGTTTTTTTATGTCTCTTTTCCTTTCTATGTATATTTGGAGTTGAGAGGCCATATGTATGTATAATATTTTATACTGATATTCTACACTTTAAGTGCACTTTGTATCACTTTGCACTTTATCAATTTGTTTGCACTTAGTTGCACTTTATATATTTTTGGGTCTTAAAGACACAGCGCACCTTATTATTTTTAAGTATATTCACTAAAGTGTTTGGAGGAGTTTTACACTTGTTTTTGGTGCAGCTCTTTTTTATATTAACAGGTTGTTTTGTTTTATTTTAGACGATTTTATTACGAGCGCCTACTTTTAACTTGTTTTCTGTGTATATTATGACACAGTTGTAGCATGTAAAATGGTAATACTAAATATTACAAATGTTATCTTAGCATTTTTTTATTTTTTTTAAATGCAAGAGAAGGGGGTGAGTTTACTTACCTGAATCTTGTGGTCACCGACAATTTCCTCAGTAGGCTCTTCATCAACTTCTGGCACTTCAGCACTAAAAGTCGACCAAAATGCTGTAATCGCGCATTTGCGAGACTACAGCAATTAGGTGTATAAAGCAATGAGGGGCTACTATACACTGTCACAATCACTTTTAAAAATATTTCATTAAGATAGAATCTTTCTGAAATACTAATTAAAAATGTGTTGTAATTTTACTGAATTACCAACCCAGGCAGATATACAGAGAAAAAGTATATCAAAATATGTCTCTGTATCTCTCTTGAGTTATTTAGAATTTTTAGTAAAATACAAACACAATCTAAATGATTAAGTCATAAAGAGTACATATATGAAATAATCATTTTTCAAGGGTAAGGATTTCACAATTCCCTAGTAGTAAGAAAAGATACCTACCTGTTAAATAACGCTTCAGAAGGCCTCTGGGACTCCATGCCAAGGAAGCCGTAGAGGAAGTGGGCAAAATCCTCCTGGCAGAATTGCTTGAAGAAAGTATTATGGATAATACACGGTGCATCTTCAAGCTGGCATATGACATTATCAATCTCTTTACAACAAATAGACTCCTCCACGGTTGGCATCGTAATGCAGTTTCCACAGGTGCACCAATCCGTGTTCCCAATTCTGCCCTCTTCATCAGTGCTGGTAGTAACTTCTTCAGGAGCCGACTGTCTGAGAGGTGTCTCTTGGAAGCATGGTTCCTTCGAAGCATTTTCTAAAAGAAGCCGTTGTAATAACTGCTGTTTCTGTTAAAAAAAAAAATACAAATATTACATTAATAATTAATTATAAATGATTATAAATAACTGCAAAACTTGAATTTCTATACTGTCTATAACAGTCCATGTCTATTTCATAAATATTCTATGTTTATGAAATAAACATTTTTGATGGGTGTTTGCCAGTTCAGCTAAACTCAAATGTAATAGAAAATATTTACATTACCCTTTCAACAGCATTCAAATCCTGAGAAGTTCCAGGATCCGACGCAGACTCCAAGTCCATTGTACCTAAAAATGAAAATCAACATTTTTAAAAAGTAGAAAGTATTTCACTTAAATTAAAAAACACAGTCAAAGAAAATTAATACACAATGTAGAGTTTACTTTGTTTATTACCTACCCACTGTAGGGATATTTATGGGATAATAATAGTAAACAGTGAGAATTGCCCACTAATTCAATTCTCAGATCCCAAAGATCGTTATCGTGTAAGTGAAAAGTATTCCATACAATTAATGATCACAATGTGTTATAAAAATATATTTATTTATTATGACCAATAATTAACAATAATATTAGGTAGCATGCATGATAATAATCAGCTAGTATTTAGTACAACATAGTATACAATACAATGGAATGGGTATACACGTTTCAATGGCTAAACAGCATTTTCTGTCAAGACTTACACGATTTATGAGGTATCCTTACAGACACAGAAAGCGAAGCTTTTCACAGCGAAGGGCCATAAAACCCTGGCTAACGGTTAGATCAACTGAATAACCCTTTCAATGCTGGCTAGATCCTCCTAGGCATATATTATCCTATACTCCTGTGATTTTCAATTGAAATAACATTTGAACCAGCTCATTAGTCATTTCCTGGAACCATCCAATAAGAATAATCTATCAGATTTTTACAAAAGCCGAATTTAATTTGTCTAAAAGATATCTTATCTTATATTAGAGCAAATCAATACACCTGGATAAAAACAGCGGTATGCTAACATGTGATATGTCACATAAATATATAATTATTCTTAATTCCACCTGCAGAATGGAATGTTTATAACTATATATTCTTTAGTTAACTAAGATTTCTAAATATTGAAATCTGACCGTGATTTATCCAGTCATATATCATGCTATTAGTAAATGTTACTAAGATCATCAATAGTTAGGGTTTCACAATTGATGGCTGCCTGTTTTGCCAGTAAATCGGCTAAGTCATTACCATCCTTGTCAATACCTTCTATTTTAGAATGGCCTTTGGTTTTCTTCCAATATATGGTTAAACCATTTTCCTTAACCAGTTCATCAATTTTACAAAACAATTTCCCATGTTTAACAGGTTTGTTATTGCTTTTCAGCATTTGGTTACGTTTCCAGCTAGGCAGATATTCGACGAAACTGTTGTGAACGTAGTTGGAATCAGTTATAATAACAAATTCTTTGATACCATATTCTATTGCCATTTGAATGGTCTTATATACACTGCACAGAGTTCAGCTATCTGACTGCTTTTGGGACCAATATTGTATCCTATAGATACATTGGGATAATCACCTATCCAGGCGATTCCGATACCTGCAACTAACTTCCGTTCAGCACCAACGACGTGGTGATATGAACAACCATCAATGTATACCCACGGTAGTGGTCGACAGTATTCCTCGTCATAAACTTTATAAGGAGATAGCAATTGCTCTTCTAGGAAGTCATCTCCGGTGTCATTATCATCCAGAGATGGAGCAGTACAGTCATGTAATTCTGATAAACCTTGGGCAACTGGGCTTCTCTTGTTATGTTTATAACAGACTTCTAACGGCCATCCCTGTAAGGATAGAGTCCATGCAGTAATCCGACTGTTAGAGAGATTACCGTCTCTAATTCTTTCACTCTGCAGATACTGTAGAGGTTGGTGAGCCATTTCTACAATTATTTTCTCACCTTGGATATAGCTACGAAAATTTTGTAGTGCCCAGACAGTCGACAATAACGCCTTCTCACACGTGTTGAATTTAACTTCAACAGGTGACAAAGTCTTGCTAGCATATGCAATAACTTTGTTTAAACTGTCCTGCTTCTGATACAGAACAGCACTGATGCTTAAGTCGGTATAACCTGTCTCCAGATAGGTTTTACCCCCCTCTGGGTATGCTAAACAGGGTGCCTGAGTGAGCTTCCTCCTCAGTTCACTTACCGCTTGGTCCTGAGGCTCCCCCCAGTTCCAGGTAGTTTCCTTTTTAAGCAGGTATAAGAGTGGTTTCGTTATTTCTGCATAGTTATCTATACATTTACGGGAGTAATTAGTCATACCAAGTGTCAGGTATAGCATGGCATGTATTTCGTCGCCGGAACCCACTTCCGGGTTCACGGCGCTCAGCCCTGCCCTTTTTTCTGACGCGGTCCCTCCACGATACTTAGGAAGACAGCGCCAGATTCAAAGGGCTGGATTATTCGCACAGGTGCTGCAGAAAGATCAGCTGCTCTACTTTTGATCCTACCTGCTCCACTTCTAGACCTCGACTAGTAAAACGGATTTCTACCTTCTCCACTTCTCGACCTCGGCTTGTAAACGGATTTCTACCTTCTCCACTTCTCGACCTCGGCTTGTAAACGGATTTCTACCTTCTCCACTCCAGACCTCGGCTTGTAAACTGAATTCTACCTTCTCCACTCCCAGACCTCAGCTTGTTGAAACGGACTTCTAATTTCTCCTTCATTGGGTGAATTAACCCTTCCAGTGCCAGAACTGCCTTTAAGTTAAGTAATACTTTTACCAAACAAGCCAATTCCTATTATTTATGTTACACAGTATCTAAAACTCACTAAAGTGTCACTTTGTCTAATTATTCCTCTTATTCATAAGGGATTGCTACAAAGCCTAATTTTTCCTTCATGTGTATTTAAAGGTACAGTGACCATTGTTTCATATCAATATAAAAGGAGGTGAAACTTATTGTTGCTGCAACCAGGAAATTCTGCAGTTGAGTTCCAATTAAAGAAGTATTACAAAATAAATATTACAGAATAATCCAGCCTTATTCAATGGAACCAGCAGATATCAACTCTCAAGTTTCTGCCCTAACCAATAGAGTGGATACGATTGCTCAAGGGTTACAGGAACTGCAAATTACAAATGAGAGAATATTAACCTATGTTAGAGACATTCAAGGTCATCTTCCTCATGCCGCTCTTCAATCGGCTGGTGATCCTGCTGTCTGTAATCCAGAAAAATTTTATGGAGATAGAACAAAGTACAGAGAGTTTTTGAATTCTTGCAAACTACTAATAGCTTTAAAACCTAGATCTTATCCCACCGAAAGATCAAAAGTCTGTTCAGTGATCTCTTTTTTAAGAGGTGAACCTATGGCCTGGGCCCATTCCTTTTTGGAAAATGATGATCCCATATTAGATTCATTGGATGAGTTCTTTGAAGCTATGTCTTTATTATATGAAGATCCTTTCAAACAAACTACTGCTGATTTAACCATCAGAACATTACACCAAAAGAATAGACCTGTTGAAGATTATATTGCAGAATTCAAAAGATGGGCTACAGAAACCCAATGGAATGACATTACTTTACGCAATCAATTCCGTCTCGGATTATCTGAAGCTGTGAAAGATGAACTCTCTCGTACAGAACTTCCTCCTACCTTAAATGCATTGATTCAACTGTCCATCAGTATTGATAGACGTCTAAGAGAAAGAAAAGCTGAAAGGGTTCTTACTAATTCTACCTGGAGAAAACCTTTCACTACTCTAAAACTACCTGAAAAAATTCCTCCACAAACTGAACCTATGGAAGTAGGTATAATAAAAAGTCCTCTTACTTCTGAAGAAAGAATAAGAAGGAGACAACTAAACTTATGTATGTATTGTGCTTCGAATGAACATCTAATTTCCGAATGTCCTCTACTGAAACATTCAAAAGGTGGTAAGCTTCATTCATCTACCTCTATATTGAACGTTTTTCAAAAAAGAAAAGCATCTACTTATTTTTCTATATCTCTCATATTACAGTGGGATACAAAAAGAATCGTGACTGAGGCCATCATTGATTCTGGTGCTAATGGAACTTTTCTTGATTTTTCTTTTGTTTCAAAAAATAAAATTCCTTGTGTTCAAAAAACTAACTTTATTCCAATCAGAGTTATTGATGGTTCATTTATATCCTCAGGACCCATCAAAGATGAGACAATCCCTCTAAGAATGATTACCAACAACGTACATTTCGAATTCATTACATTTGATATTATTAAATCTCCACTTTATCCCGTCATTCTAGGAATTAATTGGTTAAAAACCCATGATCCTTTAATTAAGTGGTCTCCCTTCTCTATCTCCTTTGCTTCTGATTTCTGTAAAAAAACGTGCTTACAACACATTCCTATTCTCCAAACTACTGTAGAACCAGTTATACCTCCATTCTACTCCGATTTTGCAGATGTCTTTTGTAAAAAAGAAGCGGAAACACTTCCTCCTCATCGGGTATATGATTGCCCAATAGATCTCATACCCGGAGCTCCTATTCCTTATGGTCATATTTATCCACTCTCTGAAAAGGAGTTAGAAATTTTAAAAGAATATCTTAATGAAAATTTACGCAAAGGGTTCATCAGACCCTCGACCTCCCCAGCTGCTTCTAGTATTTTCTTTGTGAAGAATAAAGACCAAACCATCCGTCCTATTATAGATTACAGAGCCTTAAATAAAATAACTATTAAAAATCGTTATCCTCTTCCACTAATAAATGAATTAATTGAAAGGTTAAGAACTGCAACTATATTCACTAAACTCGACCTTCGAGGCGCATATAACCTCATTAGAATAAAACAGGATGATGAATGGAAAACCGCCTTCCGGACAAGATATGGTCTCTACGAATATCTAGTGATGCCTTTTGGGCTCTGTAATGCCCCTGCAACATTTCAACATTTTATAAATGATATCTTTAGAGATCTTCTGGATATATGTGTTATTATCTACTTAGATGATATCTTAATATATTCTAACAATTTGGATGAACATAGGAAGCATGTTAGATGGGTTCTATCTAGACTGAGAACTCATAAATTATACGCTAAACCAGAAAAATGCCTTTTTGAGGTTACTGAATTCTCTTTTCTAGGATACATTATTTCACCTCATTCTTTGAAGATGGATAATTCCAAAATCAAATGTATTATTGACTGGCCCGCTCCTACTACTACAAAAGAATTACAACGTTTTCTTGGATTTGCAAACTTCTATAGAAAATTTATTAGAAACTATTCGG